ATATATATATATATATATATATATATATATATATATATATATATATATATATATATATATATATATATATATATATATATATATATATATATATATATATATATATATATATATATATATATATATATATATATATATATATATATATATATATATATATATATATATATATATATATATATATATATATATATATATATATATATATATATATATATATATATATATATATATATATTTATATATTTGACCAACCAAAATGAATTCAGCAGAGAATACAAATAAGCAATATCTGTGTTTTAGGCCTGAAATGGAGCCTTTTTCTCAAGTGAGCCACCCCACCAACCAACAATACCCTCAACGACAGAAAGCCCCAGAATACTCCACCAACAAGACGTCCAAGAGCATGGATTTAGGTATGAGACACACACGTATGTCATGATTTTGCTAAGTACAATGTGATCCTGGATTAACATCTATGTAGATCCTGGAACATCATTTTAGTTTGAAAATGTGATTCACACCTATTCCCCACCCCTAAACCCAACCATAACTGTAAATTACTCCAAAAATCAGAGCGGAATAATAGTTGGATAACAATCATGTAGAAGTGCATAAACCTAACCATAAGCCTAAAGTTAACTAAACAGTAAACATATCCCTTAATTCTGATTGGATTATTGGAATGTTGTTTAAGAATGAGCATAGATGTTGATCCAGAAACAGTTGGTGGCACACACACACACACACACACCACCTGTACTAGAAACCACCCACAAAAAGGAATCTCCATATACAATAAAACAACAACATAGTATAGACACGGCTTTATCCAGTACCAGACCAGTGCAAATGCATCCATGAAATCAGCAGTCGCCCGTCTCGCTGATCTTAGCGCTTGGTTACCTTGACCTGTGTGTGTTTGTATTTGAAAATTTAGTGTGCAACCGTTTGTAAAGCTTTATAAAGGTTAAACTAAAACCTTTTTATTTGCCGATTTTTGGTCAGTATTTTTGAGCACAGTGGAAACCGATTGCTTTCGCTCCAAAATAAAGCCACATTTCCCAGTATTAGCCACGGATGACCCTGATAACTTCTCCTCTCTCTTTTCCCCCCACCTTCGGAAACATGAGGGATATTTCAGTGCTTCACAATGGGAAGTTTTCGGCCGTTTCCAATTACATTTCATTAGGGTGGAGTATTGGCTCCAGCGCCACTGCCACTGCGCTAATCTCCTCACTGCTGAAAGCTGATTGGTTTTCATTACACACATCTCATAGTGTCGTGCTTTGCTGCCATCTTTTATCCTCCATCCAGACCTTTTCCCCTCTATTTATTTCTTTATCTTTCTCTCTCGCTTTTCCGTTTTGTTCTTTGGGTTACTCTTTCTATTTTTTTTTTCTGTGTAGGCCTTGTGGTCTGTGGTTCAGTTGCTGTCTTACTTATAAAAACTATACTATATAAAAACAATTTACAATTACTATATAAAAACAATTATAATTGTTACAAAAGCATCAGCACTTTATTATATATATTATTTAATATATATTTTTATTTGATATAACTTTATTTTATAAATTTTTTAGTTATTAATTAAGTGTAGTTTTTATGCTTGTGTGTGTGTGTGTGTGTGTGTGTATAAATAATTCATTTATATATTTTTATTTTTTGTAATTATTATTATTATTATTTGTTTGTTTTTATTATTTTTATGCTAATGTAACATTTTAAAGAATTTACTTATTTATTTTATTTATTGTTATTTAGTTATTTATTAAATACATTTTATGTTAAATTAACTGTACATACATTTGTAAATTTTATATATTATTTTTATTTTTGTTGTTTTTTATTATTTTTATGCTAATGTAACGTGTGTGTGTGTGTGTGTGTGTGTGTGTGTGTGTATGTGTGTGTGTGTGTGTGTGTGTGTGTGTGTGTGTGTGTGTGTGCATGCGTATTTTTTAATTAAAAAAGTATATTATTTTTATTTTATATATTTTTATTTAGTTATTTATTAAATACATTTTACTTTAATGTAAACAAAATAATATAAACAAAAAATATATAAGATTTTATATATATTAATATTTTTATATTATTATTTTATATTTATTATAAATAATTTTTATGGTAATGTAACTATATATATATATATATATATATATATATATATATATATATATATATATATATATATATATATATATATATTCTATATATTTTTATTCACTTATTTTAAAACACATTTTTATGCTAGTGTGACTGTATATTTACATTATATATATATATATATATATATATATATATATATATATATATATATATATATATATATATATATA